GCTACAGGCAGAAATGTCATCAAATGAGTGGTTCGGATCCCACTATAAATTGTAGGACTAAGTTTGAGTTAAAATCCCATTAGCTGCGAATCACCCTTGCGCACCTATGAATCAGAATTGATCTGCATAGTCATCTTGCACCTTTGTGTTGTTTGTGCCGGTGTTCCAATGACTAGGTACGGAAAAACTAAGTTAATGTGTCAGGAGCGTAGCTTGGAGAGAATTAAGGTGACAAATCCCCATTAGTCAACATTTTGCTAGAGTTTTTAACAAAAAATCCTTAAAAATCTGCCACCTGCTTCACATATTCCTAGTAATGTGACAATGAGCTCCTTAAGTACATAAAACAGACACAAACCTTATTAAAGGGGGGATAAAAAAAGCTACACAACCTGTTAAATTTCAAATTGGATCTGAGATGACAAAATCCCTTGCCACATCACTGACAACCTTTTCCAAATCATTCTTTAACGTATTATTTTATTATGATAACCCGATCAGCACACTTACTTACTTCGATGACCTTGCAGATCAGTTGTGATTCATGGATCCGCGTGAAACTGGCTCTATCACTGGCTATTGATTGCTAATTTCCTATACCAAATGTAATGTTGCCTCTATCAACAGTCTCTTTCCACTAGTTCTTTGGTCTTGGATAGAGATAGTGTTGCATTTGGTATAGAAAATTGGCAAGCGGTAGCCAGCGATAAAGCCAGTTTCAGGCTGCATCTGAGGAAGGCCAGGGATCAAGTGCTCTTTTTCCATCCACAAATTCCGACTTAAAGACCTTACTTAACTTCTACAGGTCTCTTCATAAGCGGCAGTTGCTTAGAAGCCAGTTCTAACATGGCGCCTAGGATACCGATTATACTCCCAATTATACTATCAACCCGGCCGTTGAATAAATTTTAATGTGTGCAGATTGGGTGGCAAGAAAATTTCTTGTCAAATTACTTTTTAAAAAAACGTTTTTAATCAAAAGTTCACTTAATCTTTTCTTGGTATTTTTGTGACATTTTTCATTTTGTGATGTGTATAATAGACACATGTACGTATGTAACATAATTGAGTGATTTAGCAACTTACTCTTCTGTAATTTTTTTCTCGCTGGAAAGGTTTTAACTCAATTTGTGGTTAAAATGATGATTTTTTTTTTTTGAAAGATGACGTGAAGTTTTTTTGGTTCTGGAAGGAGGCAGGGGGTATGGAATGTCAAATTATGAATAATTGAGGATTAGTGAGTTCTGGGTTTCTTTGACGATAGCTTTCATAATTTAAAATGCTTTTGACAGTCGTAAACTTGCTCGATTACAAACTTTTGACTTGAACAGGGGCGTAGCCAGGAAGAGGGGGGACAAAAAAATTTTTGTATGGAAAAATTTAAGGGGGGAGGATTTTTGTGATTGCCCTGGCTGGGCACTTGGACTTAAAACATAATAAAAACTAAGAACAATAGATCTTAAGGACACAACCCACAAATGCGGTAAACAACAAAACGTAATTAATTTTCCCATTTTGTTTCCCAAAAGGGGCTGTTCACTTATTACGTAACGCGAAAAAATGACTTTTTAGACCCCCCTCGTAACAAAATTTGTATGAAAAAAAATTTCCTTGTTTGAACCATAACAAAATCTTAGACCCCCTCCCCCCTAAAAGCGTTACGTAATAAGTGAATGGCCCCAAAGTTCGAAGCTAATTCAAGCAATAAATTGTCTCATTCAAGAGATAATCATTGACTAAGATCATGCATAAATTAATTCAACTCCATTTAGTAAGTTTATAATTATTACAAATGCACTCAGAGCAGCAATATGTTGAAAATTTATTCATTATAATTCCACCCGAAAATCCAGAGACTCAGCAAAGGCAAAGTTCAAGTTGGAAAATTCCTCCACAACTAAAAAGGCAAAAAAGTTTTAACAATAAATTTTCAAACAAAACATGGAAAAATTTTAATTAAATTATAATGAAACTGATTTTTAATCAAGCAACTCTCGGAAGTTTTGAGTTTGTGCTGAATTGTTTCAGCAACAAAATTCCTTTCAAAAATAGCTTTGGAATTTTTTTCTTTTTTCTATTAAATTTATCCGAAAAATTGAATGTAAATGAAATGTCAATAAATTTTTCGTGCGCTTCTGTGCATGAACTTAATTAAGAAACTTTTGCCTATGCAGAATTCCTATGAGGTCGTCGTAAAATCATGCAGTCAATGGTATAATTGAAAAGTTGTGAAGTAATTGAAGGGAGGTGAATAGAGCGCATTTTGAAATTTTATTGATTTTGATGGGTTACGAACGTAGAAAGAGGGAGGAAGCATGGTTTCAATCATCAAGAATGTTTGCCATTTTCCTAAGTTTATTTGGTCTAGCTGCATCTTTTAGAGCAGTGGTGTACAACCTTTGTGCCACGGCACATCTTGAGGTAAGCCATGACCAACAACTCACTCGACACACGGTTCGTGAGATTAGTCGATTTTTTGTGGCACACTAGTGTACCGTGGCACATGGGTTGGCCATCACTGTTTTAGGGTAGAAGAGTTTAAATATTATTTTTGGATTAACGTCATTTTCGAACGACTTTTTGCATGTTTCTGTTTAACGACCTTTATCAGACTTCCTTAGCTCCTCTCATCCTTAGATATCTAGCTTAACAACACTTTACCAAACTCCATCTCAACCAATTCCAATGACCAACATTCAATAATCAATCCAATAAACCCAATTACAAATTAATGCACAAATGATAAGAGTAAAGTTGTGCAAAATTAGTTTTACACTCGACTATAGCTGCCTCAAATGAAAATTGAAAATAGAAGTTTATTAAATCATTTCAGTAACACATAAACTTTCTCTATCGAGCTTGTAATCAATGAGGAATTGAAAGTTCATATTTTGTTGGTTAAGCAACTGTAAAATTGGATGGATGGATTTATTTGACTATTTGTTGTTTGCTGTAATGGAGTTTTGATGGGATTTTATGAAGATTTAGTGGATTTTAATTAAATATTATTTATAAATATTCAAATAAGCAATTTACCCGAATGGCACAGGTCGGTTTATCGAAGTCAAATCCGGCGCCAAGCTAGCATGACCCTGGAATGAAGCCAGCTTCGATTTAAAACCAGCACCATTTCAGAGTCACACTTGAAGAACTCAAGAGCTTACCTTGAATTGCACAGGGCATTTAAAAGGGCATGTAGCATGAATGAGGCTAGTTACGAATCTAATGTGTTATCAAACTTATCATTAAAGACTAAGTTCAACCCTTTTTCATTACCAATTGTTGCTAAGAGCTCCAAGACCAGAACTAACATTATTCTTGCTTCCTACAACTTTAAACAATTTATTGTCAACAAATTTATCTTATTGTATGCTTCACGCTCAAAACACAGATATTTACTTCCTTCGATAATGAAGATTCAATTAATTTCGTGATGTTCAATAAAACTTAACAAATACTTTAAATAAACAAAAATAATTTTCTCGCATTTAAATTAAGAGTAATTTCTAAATATTTATTTATTCAGTGATTCAAATAGATTTTTGTTTTTCAACATGCCTTTTGGGTAGATGTTGCGTTCAAAATCAATTTATTTAGCACAAATTTTTTGTTTGATGATGAATATTTATTTACTCGCTGTTTTGATTGATTGATTTTTGACGCAGACAAAATATTTGCTAATTTTTTTGCAATTATGCGAAATAATATTTGGAGTTAACTGTGTGCACTGGGACAGAGAATATCAAGAATTTTGAAATAAATTCTAAAATTGATTGGGGGCTGATCACTTATTACGTAACAGTTTTAAAGTGAGGAGGGGGGGGGGGGGGATTTCGATTTTGTGACAGTTCGAAGTTTTCTTCATAATAATCTTGTGGCAATAGACCTCAATCTAAAATGCAGCTACCCTAAAATGCAGATAGTACCAGGGGCGTAGCCAGAAAATTTTTAAGGGGGGCCCATTTTCGAAAATAAAAAAAAAGGTTATTTTGTATCCTTAAATCTATATTCATTCTTCATAAGTTTAAATATTTAATTCATTATTCATACATTAAATTTAATTTTTCGTGCTGATTTTGACGTATCTTTCATCACTTCCTCTACATTAACTGGTTCTCCTCTATAAATACTTAACAAAACAATTATCAGATTTTCGTAGGGGGGGCCCGGGCCCCCTATGCCCCCCCCCCCCCCCCCCCCCCCTTCTGGCTGCGCCCCTGGATAGTACTGCCAAGATGCAGATGGTGCTGCATTTTAGGGATTTTTAGATTAAGGTTGGCAATAGTGCGATCTAAAATGTAGTTTTTTTGTGTTACGTAATAAGCGAATAACCCCTTATAGGGTCGTTTATGTTAGGGTTCAATTTATCTTTGTCATAGAGTTCTCTCACCTGAACTCATCCTTTTGTTTTTCATTTTAAATCTGATTTTTTGGTCAAAAACTTAATAGTTTCATGTTCATTTTTTGAAAATTAGCTGGAAGATGAGAAGGGCTGGAACTTGCTTTGAAAAAAAAATAATTTTCTTATGTTGTACCTCCTTAATGCAGTGATGCTCAATCCACTAGTGCAACGTTACCTAAAAAAGGTTGTACACCACTGCCTTATTGTATCAATCAGCTATTAACACCACTCCCTACTCAACTCAACCTCCCCCCCTCCCCCTCCTAATTCATGTTAAAGCCATCATAAGTGAACGATTTTCAAGATAAATAAAAAATAAATAAAAGAACAAGTTTTAAGTCAACAAGAGTTTCCATTAAATTATTCCAAAAAAGAAACATTTTTGAGTAATAAAAAGTTAATGTGAGATGGACACAACATAAAATATAAATCTGTGTAATTTAAATAAATTTTTTTCTCATTTCAACTCAAAAGATGTTGACCGAAAAACTCGTTATTCAAAGGCAAAATCATTTGTGATTTAGTATTGTTGTATTCTTCATCGTGAGAAGAGACGAGATTTAAGAAAGTTTAAAGTAAATACATTGTTGCTCACGAGATGAAATCTGTTGGTTTGATTCCTCGAAAGTTCCACAATGAATCAATCAAAGATGTGAACATCAAAAAAGTTGAAGGTAATGTGTTTGAAACTGATTTGATGAGTCATGGTTATGGGTCAGGGGTGTTCATATTTAGCTATGAGAAACTTGACCGATCGGCACATTTTGAAATGTTTGCCACCCGCTTATGCGGCTCAATGTGTGCCGATCTGGTTGATAATCCTTTTTAACAAGCTAATATTCTAACCTATTTTAGGTCTTGAGTTAAAACCTCTTTTGCAAATCGCCATAGACAACAAAACTAAACTGCAAGAACAACAAATAAAAATCGATCAAAATGAATCAAAGTTCATAACATTCCAAAACTGCAGCAACAATACTGACATCTTTAAAGTTGTTGAGTCTGTAAACCAAAGTAAAGACATACTTTTACTTAAATTTCAAACGACAGACGATTTCGTCGACCTAAGTTCAACAGATCTTCATAAATTAAACAAAGTATGTAGCCACAAATCAGCTGTGATCATTTTTGAATCTAAAACTGATGAAAACTTTTCAATTTACTGGAAATCAAATGAAATTGAAGAATTTTTAATATTGAAAATCAATGAAAAATTGGATATAAAAATGGATAGAATGCTTCATGAATTTATTACTGACTTCCTTGTCAAATCTATTGAGATTAATCATTTAGGTTAGTTGTTATGTTTCTTTGTTTTTGGAAAAATCAATAAATGAATTTTATTCCAGGTCTCATCAGCAAACTGTCATTTCAACATGGAATGAAGCCCGTCAGTCTTGATCTACTAGCTGATTCTCGTGACTTTAACTTGCTTTTACTTGCAGCTGAGAATGGAAATTCAGAAATTGTTGAAATCTTACTACAACAAGGAATGAACACAAATTCATTGGACAACAAAATCGATGCTCAAACTTTAGCTTATCAAAATCAACATTTTGATGTTCTTTGTCAATTATTACAAGCTAATCTCAAGTTTCCAGCTTCTTTTGATACAACTTTGTGTACAGGCAAGTGCAAGGAATTTTGTGAAGTAACGGAAGAAGTCCACAAGTTGATCAAAGCTGATGACAACGAGAAACTCAAAGTAATTTTGAATCAGCACAAAAATCTCAAACATTTCTACAATTTTTCAAATGAATCAGCTTTAAAAGTGGCAATTCTTAATGAATCATACAAAACTTACAAGGAACTAACCAAACGGAAGTTTCGATATGCATCACATGAAGATCCAGCTGAATATCTGCAAGACTTAAATGAAAAGAATAAGAAAATCGTTCGAGAGATTCACAATAAATTTTCCGAGAACATCGTTGAGAAGCATATCAACACTCTTATTGGTAATTCCTTTATTTATCATGATGAAGTCGATGGACAAGACAAGCAAGACATCATCAGTCGGGCTTACAAAACATTAGATTCCATTCCACTTGTCAGAATAATTCTCAAGATTGTTGCTGCATCAAAAAATTTCAAAATCATTTTTGACTTCAATCGTGAGTCAGTGAATGTTGCAGATCCAACAGTTGATTCTTATACTCAAGGTTTGTTCTATGTATCAGGTAGAATCTATGTTGGCGCTATGCAATTGCTCAATACTTTAACGGAACATGAAGCTTTAGCGAATCTAGCACATGAGCTTTGCCACTACACAATGAATTTGGTCTACAATAACGGAGCTAATCCATACGAAGTTGACGATTTGACAACTGAAAATGAATTGCGAGAAATTTCAGAAATTTGTGAGAAAAGTGCCGAAAAAGAGGAAATCATTGACATGGTTTATGAAGCATATCCAGAAGAAGTTCATCATGCTGAGCTCATTGTTCGTCCTGTCCACATGCTGGTTTACTTTCAAAATTCTCCTGAAATAGTAGAACAAAAGAAGGAAGCTTTCAGCAGATTATTCGAATTCTATGAAAGAAAGACTTATCCTGACATGAAGAAGGCACTTCCAGAGATTGAAAGAAGAGACCAAATAGTGCTGGAACTGAAAGATCAAAAAATTTCTAAATTAAAAAAAGTTTCAATAATTGGTGGGGTTATGACTATCCTTGGAGTCATTGCTGCTATTGTCATTGGAATAATATTTTATACGCCAATTTATAGCTTTGATGAACTTACTTCTGAAGAACAGACAGTTGTGTCTAATTCTTCTGTAATTTATAAAAATGTTCAAATTCAGTTAAATGATTTATTTCCTACAAATTCAACTGCTTACTCGATGCTGACGTCTGATCACATCACTCAAATGCTGCAAGGTGAAATTCTGAACTTTACTGACCCGTACGTCCATTATTTAGATGAGCTGGTGACACATTCATGGACAAACTTGACAGAACCTTTAAAGGCAACATTTCTATCCTCAAACTTCACATTTCAGGACGAAAGCTTGAAATTTAAAATTTTACATGAGTCAAATCCAACAACCTTTGAATCCCTAACTTCCCAGCAGATAATAGACGTTCTCGATAACAAAACTATGATCATATCCAACATGATTAAAAATGAGACAAACTTTATCGCGAGTAGAAAAATATTTGATGAAAATATTTATGAGATTTATTATGGATTTATGCATTTAATTCATGGAGATCTTTCAGCATGTAGATGCCAATGCTACAACAACACTAAAAATACTGAAACTTTTGAAAATTTCTACAAAGAATTTCGAAACAAAGACTTAAACACGCAATTGAAAAAGATAAATGAAATCAGGAAGATAGAAGGCTTCAGCGTTTGTGCTCTACAGGATTATAAGATCTATGACTATCCTCATGAAGAAATCGATAATGTGTTTACACATGAATCCTTACAATTTAACTTTAATGATGTTCTTAAGATTGCAAATGAGACGAAAATGTTCATTTTATCAGCAGAAGCAGGAACTGGAAAGACAGTCACATTCGAGCAATTTACGATGAGAATCAAGAAGAAGCTTCCAACTCGTTGGGTTTCTTACATTGACTTGAAGGATCATAAAGATTTGTACAAGGCTGTTGAGACTTTTGATGATGTGAAGGAGATGCTTGGGAAGATTTTTGGACTTGCTGATCAGAATAAATTTGAGAAAGAAGTTTTTGAGGAACTATTCAAGTCTGGTGATGCAATTTTGTTGTGGAATGGATTTGATGAAATTTCACCGGAGTTTAGTGACTCAGTTCTGAAGATATTAAGCATAATAAGGAACAACACCAAAAATATTCAGTTTATATGCACAAGGCCACTTTATACAGAACAACTGAGAGACAAATTCATGACCAAAACCTACACTTTGATTCCATTTACTGCAGAAGAGCAAGAAAACTTTATAAAAAAATTCCTGATTGCTAATAAAATTGACAAGTCAATGATCCCAAACTACATCCAAAAAGTTCAGAAAATTGTAGATTCCACTCAATCCAAAGAAGGCTTTGACACGCCATTGTTGCTTGGAATGATATCGGAACTAGTCTCAAGTGACGTTGAAATTTATGAGACAGAAAACTTGTATGAACTTTACAGGAAGTTCGTTGAGAAGAAGGTTCAAATTTGGCAAGAAAACAGTGCATTTGCTAAGAAGTTTCTTAATACGCTAGTGACTAGTGGATTCAGCATTAAGAATCTGTATTTAAAGTATGCAATGAAGAGTGAACTCCAGTCTGGCGATTATTCCTATAAGTTTGCATACTTTAGTGCCTTAAAATTAAAAATCATGCGTCAAAAAGTTCCGAAAGGATTGACAAACGATGAAGTTTCAAGGATGGGAATTTTGTTCATTAATGGACCAAAAACCTTTAAGTTTGCTCACAGAACCTTCGCAGAATTCTTCGTAGCTCAATACTTAGTTGAGAACATTTACTACGCAGACGATGAACCAACAGACGAAGAAGCAGAACGAAGAATTCGAGTGCTGTACCAAACTTTCTCATATCCATATTTCAGAATCAGAGGATTCATCGAATCATTCCTTAAAACACAATCAGCAAATGAGACACAAGTCTTTGATGCTAAAATCTCAAATGTATTAAGAACAAAGTTTCAAAGGATTTACTTCAACAGCATGCAGGACTTTAATGAGATCAATTTGCTAGAATTTTTCGCTAAAGACAACAATGTTTTCACAGAACTGCTTCAAATTAATGCTGACGAAACTCTTTACACTGCAAGCTTTAATTATCTTTACTATCTGAACTCAAAAACGAGGATTGTCAACCATGAAGGCATAGCAGCAATCAGCAAGCAATACTTAAATGACAGTCAATACGAAACGTTCATCAGTGGCAAGAATCAGAAAGGAATAATTCAATGGAGTTCTTATTGGATGAGCAGGAAAATCTTACAGTCAAGAACTTACGGAACTTACTTCCATAAAAATTACACACTGGATGATGAATTCTTAAAAAATGGCAATTCTGAGTTTGTTTTTGAGTCGATTGTTAAAAATTTAACAGAATCTGAACTTAAAGCACTTTTGACATCGGAAATAATTCTAAGAAATGCCTTTTTTGATGAGACAATGTGGAACTTAATCGAGGAAAACTTGACAAAACAGGAACAAAAGAATTTGCTCCTAAAGTTCTTTAAACTGACTTCAATACTAAAGCATGGAAGTTATAAGCTAGCACTTGAAAAATTCCAGACATTCTCCAATAATTCAGAAATTTATGAAATATTCTTCAAATCAAACATTTTAAACACAATTGCTAATTTTGGAAGCTACAACTTCGATCCTCTGTGGAACTTTTTTGTCAATCATTCAAATTTTGAGCAGCAAAAGACAATTTTAAAGCAATCGGTTCAAAATGAATGTTTTTTGAGAACATTTAAAGATTTCGATTTGAGGTATTGCTATGTCTTTCCACCGCTGAACATGTTGCAATCTTCAATTTTCTCATTTGATGATCTTTACCCATTTGAACACATTTCATCGCTTTATGCAACTTACTTCAACAGAACTGAAATACAAGAAATAATTCTGTCAGGAACATTCGAGTTCTTTCCTCTTTTGGTTGTTCAGGGCGATCAGAAGCGATGTGAATACTTTTTTGGATATTTAAGAAGGATTTTTACTGGAAGTGAAGATGTTTTGAAGAACTTTTTGCTACAGAAGATTGAGCCAACTAATTTGGATGTTTTTGAGCTGATGAGTGATTATAATGATCATAAAAATTGTGTTGAGTTGTTTACTCAGTTTCTTGATGTACCGGAAGTGTTATAAAGCTGTTGTCTGGAGGTAGTGTAACAAATTTATCTAAATCTAGAAGGATTTGATGTTTGGAATAGTTCGGGACTTTAACAATAGCTGGATGATATTCCTAGAATGTTATTTTCAGCTTGGAATTACTTAAATTAATTCAAAAATGGACTAAATTAGAAATTTTAGGTTAGCAATATTGAAAACTTGTTTCCTAAAAGGTAGCTTTGGGATCTTTCGGACGTTCACTTATGACGTCCGATATTAACGGTCATTTTTCAAAAATCAACAATGGAATTCCAGGAATTTCTATTGTTCTTTTCTTTCTGACCCTCCCCCCCCCCCCCCCCCCTCCTTGACGTCATAAGTGAACGGTCCCTTTGTGCGTTCGCTCCGTTACTCGTCTCATGAGATCTCCTTAGTCAAACAACGTAGAGAGCTAGAGAAACATTGAAATGTTTGCCACCCAGCGACCGGGTTGAAAAAAAAATTAGAACCAAGCGACAGCCGCTTGGAAGCTATTTCCATCTAGATGCCAAGTGGCCTTTAGATGGCAAACATTTCAATGATTTTCAATGTGTGTTGATCGAGAATAGATCAGTTTTATAGAGTTATTACGGTTCTGTGCAGTTATAATGTTCAAAACAATGGTTTCAAATGCAAAAACACGTGATGAGTGCATTCAGAAATTTGACTTTTTTTCTATCGTTATAAAATTTAAACTTCAAAAAAACGTTTAAAGACAAAAATTGTGTTGAAACATGCTGAATGATTTGAGTTTATTTTCTATTAAAGCACGGATAGCTCCAACAACAACACTCTGAAGTTATTCTATAAAATACGAAGACTTTTGTGATTTTCCAATAAAAAATATGTTTTTTAAAAGATTGAAAATCTTTTTTATTTTCTTGATAAAATTTTCTATCATTTAAGCTTTAAGCAACTTACTAAATGACTCAATACAATTTTTTGGATCATTAAAATCGCTAAAAAGTTCAAAGACATTTAAGTTCGTAGGTTCAATTTCATTGAGCAAAAACTTCTTTAAAAGCTCCTTATTTCCAATGAAAATTCTTTCTAAATATCCAGCAGTTTCCTCACAAAGATCATGGTCCCCCTGCACCATTAAAACAGGCAAAAATTCATTGGAACCTGAAAAAATTATTTGCTGCATTTCAGTTCTGTTGAAATAAGTTTCATAAATCTTTGAAATTTCTTTGAATGAATTCAGGCTTTCAAATGAGAATAATGAAGTTTGCAGCATGTTGAGTGGTGGAAAGACGTAACAATATTTGATCTGCTCAAAAGCTTTAAATGGTCGTGAAATGCATTCATTTTGAACTACTTGAGTCATTATTGACTTCTGTTGCTCCAAATCCGTGTGATTTGTAAAGAAGTTCCATAAAGGCTGGAAAGTGTAGGTTCGGAAATTCGCAGCTGTTGTCAGAATTTTAGTTTTTAAGAAGAATTCGTAAACTTCTGAACTTTTGTAGAATTTTTCTAATTTCTTCAGTCCGAAATTGAGGTTGTCGTAGCTGTACAAAATCGATGAAGAACCAAAGAATTTCGCCAGTAGATCCTTTTGTTCCTCAACTGTTAAATTTTCTTCAATTATATTCCAAACTGTTTCGTTAAAGATGTACCGGACATACCCGCTGACCAAATCAACAGGATTTAAAATTATTTCAGATCTCAAAAGTGCTTTAAGCTCAGATTTTGTAAGATTCTTTGCTATTGACTCAAAAACGTAGATAAAGTCATCATTTTTGAGCAGTTCGTCATCTAATGTGAACTTATCATGAAAGCTAAATCCATAATCTCTTAGAATAAATATCTTTGAGCTCAGGCAGTAAGAACTCCACAGAATAATTCCTTTTTGATTTTTGTCACTAATAAAACTTTGAAATTGAGAATTAACGAGGTGCTTTTTGCCAAATTCTTTAATTCCAGCGTGGTACATGATTCGATCTTTTGATCCTGGATAGTAAACATAATTATAAGTTGCTGTGTAAAGAGTTTCGTCAGCATCAACTTGAAGCAATTCAGCAAGAACTTTGTTGTCTTTTGCCCAAAATTCCAGCAGTGGGATCTCATTCAGTTCCTTCATGCTGTTGAAATAAAGTCTTTTGAATTTTGTTCTTAATACTTTGGACACTTGAGAATCAAATGCCTGAGTTTCATTAGCAGCAATTGTTTCAAGGAAGGATTTAATGAATGTTCTGACTCTGTAGAATGGATAATTGAAAGTCTGGAAGAACAAACGGATTCTTCGTTCTGCTTCCTCATCTGTCGGCTCATCATCTGCAAAGTAAATATTCTCAACAAAATATTGAGCCACGAAGAATTCAGCAAAAGTTCTGTGAGCAAACTTGAAAGTTTTTGGTCCATTAATGAACAAAATGCCCATCCTTGAAACTTCATCGTTTGTTAATCCTTTTGGGACTTTTTGACGCATGACTTTAAGTTTTAATGCATTGAAATATGCGAATTTGTAAGAGTAATCGCCAGACTGAAGTTCATGTCTCATTGCATACCTTTGATGTAAGTTCTTAATGCTGAATCCACTGGTCACAAGAGTATTTAGGAACTGCTTAGCAAATGCACTGTTTTCTTGCCAAATTTGAACCTTCTTCTCAACGAACTTCCTGTAAAGTTCATACAAGTTTTCTGTCTCATAAATTTCGACGTCACTTGAGACTAGTTCGGATATCATTCCAAGTAACAATGGCGTGTCGAAGCCTTCTTTTGAATTAGTAGAATTAACTATTTTTTGAACCTTTTGGATGTAGTTTGGGATCATTGACTCGTCAACTTTGTTAGCTATCAGGAACTTGGTTACAAAGTTTTCTTGCTCTTCAGCAGTGAATGGAATCAAAGTGTAGGTTTTGGTCATAAATTTATCTCTCAGTTGTTCTGTATAAAGTGGTCTTGTACATATAAACTGAATATTTTTAGTATTGTTCCTTATTATGCTTAAGATCTTCAGAACTGGCTCACTAAACTCCGGTGAAATTTCATCAAATCCATTCCACAACAAAATTGCATCACCAGACATAAAAAGTTCCTCAAAAACTTCTTTAACAAATCTATTCTCATCGGTAAGTCCAAAAATCTTCCCAAGCATCTCCTTTACATCATCAAAAGTCTCAACAGCCTTGTACAAATCTTTATGATCTTTCAAGTCAATGTAAGAAACCCAACGAGTTAAAAATTTCCTTTTGATTCTCATCGTAAACTGCTCAAATGTGACTGTCTTTCCAGTTCCTGCTTCTGCTGATAAAATAAACATTTTCGTCTCATTAGCAATCTTAAGAACATCATTAAAGTTAAATTGTAAGGATGTGTGAGAGAGCAAAGTTTCAGCTACGGGATATGGGTACATATAAGTCTTGATTTTGTAGCCTTCAATTGGACATACTGTGTAAGTTTCTTTTCTTCTTATTTGATCGAGTTTCTTGATTTGAGAATTGAGGCTTTGATTTCTGAACTCTTCGTAATAGCTCTCAAAAGTTTTGGTGCTTCCAGTCATATTAAGACATTCACATCTGCATGATTCATCATTTCCATTCATAAAATGTATGAAGTCGTAGTAAATCTCATTTAGGTTTTCATCAAAAATCTTCCTCTCCGAAATGAATTTTGTGTCATTTTTAATCATATTGGATATGATCAACGTTTTGTTGTCTAACACGTCAATAATCTGCTGGGAAGTTAGGGATTCAAAGGCTGTTGGATTTGACTCATGGAAAATTTTAAATTTCAAGCTTTCATCCTGAAATGTGAAGTTTGAGGTTAAAAATTTCTCCTGCAGCTTTACTGTCAAGTTTGTCCATGAATGTATCACCAGCTTATCTAAATAGTGGACATGAGGGTCACTAAAGTTCAGAATTTCACCTTGCAGCATTTGCGAGATATGATCAGAAGTCAGCATTCCATAAGCAGTTGAATTTGCAGGAAATAAATCATCAAAATCAATTTTTACATTTTTATACAATATTGATGAGTTTGCGACTGTCTTTTGATCACGAAGTGAAAGTTCTGAAAAGGTATAAGTCGGAGTGTAAAAGATCAACCCAATAATAATTGCGGCTATGACTCCAAGCACTGCTAACACTCCACCAATTATTGAAATTTTCTTTAATTTTGAAATCTTTTGGTCCTTTTGTTCCAATGCCTTTTCATCTCTTCGTTCTATTTCTGGTAAAGCTTTTTCCAAATCTGGAACTACTGTTTTTTCATAAAATTCGAATAATCTGTTGTGAGTTTGCTTCCTTTGTTCTAATATTTCTGGAGAATTCTGATAGTAAACCATCATGTGGACAGGACGAACAATGAGCTCAGCATGATGAACTTCTTCTGGATATGCTTCGTACACCATATCAATGATGTCTTCTCTTTCCTCACTTTTTTCACAAATTTCTGTAATTTCTTGGAACTCCTTTTCTGTTATCAAATCGACATCTTTGAAAGGTTTTGCATCGTTGTTGTAGACCAAATTCATTGTGTAGTGGCAAAGCTCATGTGCTAGATTCGCTAAAGCTTCATGTTCCGTCAAAGTATTGAGCAGCTGCTTAGCTCCAATGTAGACTCTTCCAGAAACATAAAACAGACCTTGAGTGTCTGAGTCAACTGTTGGATCTGCCACATTCACTGACTCGCGATTGAAGTCGAAGATAATTTTGAAATTTTTTGATGCAGCAACAATCTTGAGAATTATTCTGACAAGTGGAATGGAATCAAGTGACTTGTATGCTCGACTAATGATGTCTTGCTTGTCTTGTCCATCGACTGCATCATGATAAATAAATGAGTTTCCAACCAGAACATTGATGTGCTTGTCAACAATGCTTTCTGAAAATTTATTGTGAATTTCTCGAACTTTTCTTTTGTCATCATAATTTAAATCATGTAAATATTCAGCTGGATCTTCATGTGATGCATATCTGAACTTCCTACTCGTCAGTTCCTTGTAAGTTTCATATGATCCACCAAGTATTGCAACTTTTAACGCAGATTCATTTGTAAAATTGTAAAAATGTTTGAGATTTTTGTACTGATTCAAAATTACTTTGAGTTTCTCGATGTCATCAGCTTTGATCAGCTTATGGACTTCTTCAGTTACTTCACAAAATTCCTTGCACTTCCCTGTACACAAAGTAGTGTCAAAAGAAGCTGGAAACTTGAGATTAGCTTGTAATAATTGACAAAGAACATCAAAATGCTGATTATTCCAAGCTAAAGTTTGAGCATCGATTTTGTTGTCCAATGAATTTGTGTTCATTCCTTGTTGTAGTAAGATTTCAACAATTTCTGAATTTCCATGCTCAGCTGCAATTAGAAGCAAGTTGAAGTCACGAGAATCAGCAAGTAAATCAAGACTGACTGATTTGATTCCAGGTTGAAATGACAGTTTGCTGATCAAACCTAGAAATAATAAAATTTTGAATGATTCTTTAATGCAAATTTTACAATTACTTACCTAAATGATTTTTTTGAACTGAATCAGTAAGAAAATTTGCAATAAATTCATTTAAAATTCTGGCTTCTTTTGGATTCAACTCCTTTGTGGATTTGTATGAGAAAAAATTCTCAAAATCTGCTAGCTTCCAGTAAATAATAGAGTCATCATCAACTATTGATTCAATTACAATGACAGCTGATTTATTTTGGCATATCTTGTTTAAGTCTTCTAAATTAATAGGACTCAATTCTGTAGAGTCTTTGATTTGAAGTTTAATGAATAAAGGTTCTGGCTTTTTGTTTTGATCATCGTTGGTGTCATGAAGCTCTTTGCTTTGCAATATATCAGCAATACTGCTGAAGCCTTTGATTGTATTAAAAATTGATTCATTTTCAATTCTATTTAGTTGAATTGCTGTTATAAAATCTTTTGAAGGTTTATCTATTGGCCTTAGCTTCAAGTCTAGAAGAAGAAAAATAGAAAGTATGATTCAACGAGGTATAATTAATTTGACTGCTTATTAATCTACTGAACGATCAATTAAAAAGAGAGGAGAGGTAAAAGCATTCAAAGAGCCGGTACCGGTTAATAACTCTTAATGAGAAATTTTTGATTCCATCGTTAATCAAGATCCCTCCTTGTAGAAACACATCGACTAGCTGGAAACCTATTATTATACCCGAAAGGCACAAGTCGGTTAATGGATCATAAACCCAGTGTAACACTGGCATGGTGCTGGATTTAAATCAAAGCTAGCACCTTGTCAGAGTTATGATGGCTGGGCGACGGATTTCTATTCGATTAACCTGCTTGTGCTATTTGGAATAATACGGCATCAAAAATTGAATTTATCAATATCACTTTGCACCCGAAAGTTTTTTGTGCGGCTCTACATTATTATTTTTAATCTTGAAGGTCACTAACATCTTCTGTTATTTATAACTTACACTTTTAGCACTTGTGTGTCATGTTTACTTTCATGCGATGCTTAAATGACTAATGTTTGGGTTTTACCAGATTTTTTTTCTTTTAATTCGAATTAAAGTTATTGTTCAATGTTTAATCAAATTGTTAAGGCACATTTGTTGATGTTTCCAGACATACATAGTACGTACTTAGTAATCAGTAAATGTTTCGAAAGAAAAATTCATAAATAGAACTTACCATCAAATTCATGTAAATTCAAACCTTTAACTATTTTATCATTTCGTTCCGCTACATTTTGATGCTTTTGAGAAGATATTAAAGAGTCGTAGCTCATTTTGAAAAATTATATTTTAATTAATTTACTATTTAAAATATTCAGCTACCGCTTTTGTGATGTATTTCTATCAAATACTGACACATTACTGAATCAACACAAAGATCATGCGTGTTAATAAAACGAGTTTTATGTTCACAAGATTTAAATGTGGTCAATTTGCATATTTCATTTATAAACAGACCCACATGTGCCAATATATTTTCTTTACACACTCATAATCATCAACATATGATGTTGACGTCATTAATGAGGTCATGATTGACTTTTAAAAACTTAGTAATACTCATTGGGCTGTTCTTTTATTATGAACCACTTTTTTGGGGGGGGGGGGGGTGGAATTTGTGACAGTTCAAACAATTTTTTTTTGTAATAATTTTGTGACCAATGGGGAAAATGGGACTATAACAGTGCTTTCCGACGTAGAAACAGTGTTGCATTTGGTATAAGAAATTGGCAAGCGATAGCCGGCGTTAGAGCAAGTTTTAGGCGGAATCTGAGGGAGGTCATGGATCACAATTGACCTGTAAGGTCATCGAAGTAAGTAAGTAACAGTGTTGCCCAGACTTTTTGAGCAACGGCACATCTTAGGAGTAAACCATGACGGACGTCACACACAGCATGTGGCTCATGTCATTTCCAAAATTTTTCTATGACACTGGTGTGCTGCGGTACACAGTTTGGACAACACTGGAATCTAAAATGTCGATTTTTGCGTTCCGTAATAAGTGAATGGCCCCGTTGATGTGAGAGTGATTCAGACAGAAAGAGGATGAGCGCTGGTGAGCTTTAGAATCTGACAGAAGTGAGATAAAAAATTAAAAACAAATTATGTTAAAAAGAAGGTTGGGGCCGGGGGTCAGTTTGCTATAGCGTCCATCTAGGTTTATGATGGATAGCCAGGGAAGGATTTGGGGGACAAATTATCTAGGGTTTTATGATAAATTTGCAACCCCTCCCCCTGAAGATGTATTAATTAAAATGAAATTTATCTTAAAGAAGGAAAGAGTGGCGGGGGGGGGGGGGTGTCTTAAAATTTTTTTCGATTAAATGTAACTCTTAATGACTTATTAAAATAAAATAAATTTGAGTTTATTTAATAAATTTAAAGATTCATTCAAGTAACTTAGTAAACAGCTCAAGACAATTATTATGATCACGAAAATCCCTCAAAAGATCAAAGACATTTAAATTTGTAGGCTCAACTTCTTGTAATAAAAACTTCTTCAGCGTCTCTTCATTCCCAATGAACAACTTTCTTAAGTTTCCAGTAGCTTCCTCGCAAAGATCATAATCACCTTGGACAATCAAAATTGGAAGGAAGTCGGATGTGCTTCGTAATATTATTTCTTGTATTTCAGTCCTGTTGAAGTAAGTCTCATAAATCATTAACATATCCTTAAAAGCACCGAATTTCTCAAATGAGAATATTGAAGTTTGCAGCATGTTGAGTGGTGGAAAGACATAGCAGTACCGCAACTGTTCGTCACCTTTAAAAGGTCTAGTAAAGCATTCATTACGAACTATTCGAGTAAGCATAGATTTCTGTTGTTTGACAGTCGTGTGATTAATGAAGAAGTTCCATAAAGGTTGAAAAGTGTAGTTCCGGAAACTGGCTGCAGAGTTAAAAATTTTGGTTTTTAAAAATATTTCATAAATTTCTAAATTTGAGTAGAATTTTGCTAATTTTTTCAGTCCGAACTCTAAATCATATCCATTGATTAAAATTGTTGTAGTTCCTAAAAATTTCAAAAGTAATACTTTTTGTTCCTCAATTGATAAATTTTCTTCAATTAATTTCCACATTTTGTCATTAAAAATTCCTCGATTTAAAATAATTTCGGATTTTAATAGAACTTTAAGCTCAGATTTTGTCAAATTTTGTGCGACTGATTCAAAGACAGCAAATTCGTCAGGATTTTTCAAGTACTCGTCACTTAAAGTGTATTTCTCATGGAAAGTGAATCCAAATTGTCTGTTGTCTAAAATTTTACTTCCTAAACAGTAAGAGCTGAACAAAATAATTCCCTTTTTATTTTTATCATCTATGAAGTTTTGGTATTGACTGTCATTTAGATGCTGCTTGCCAAAATTTCGTAGTCCAGAATGATGAACGATTCTATACTTTGAGCCTGGATAGTAAACATAATTGTAAGTTGCAGTGTAAAGAGTTTCGTCAGCGTTTACTTGAAGCAATTCAGCAAGAACTTTATTGTCTTTTGCCCAAAACTTTAGCAATGGAATCTCATTAAATTCCTTCATGCTGCTCATATAAAGCCGATTGAATTTCATCCTCAAAACTTTCGATATTTTAGAATCAAATTCTTGAGTTTCATTTGCAGCTTGAGTCTCAAGAAAGGACATGATGAAAGTTCTAACTCTGTAGAATGGATAATGGAAAGTATGGAAGAACAAACGAATTCTTCGTTCTGCTTCCTCATCTGTCGGTTCATCGTCTGCAAAGTAAATATTCTCAATAAAATATTGAGCTACGAAAAATTCAGCAAAAGTTCTGTGAGCAAATTTGAAGGTTTTTGGGCCGTTTATGAACAAGATTCCCATTCTTGAGACTTCATCATTTGTTAATCCTTTTGGTACTTTTTGCCGCATAATTTTGAGTTTTAAAGCATTGAAATATGCGAATTTGTAGGAGTAATCGCAAGACTGCAGTTCATGTCTCATTGCATACCTTTGATGTAGGTTCTTAATGCTGAATCCACTAGTTATGACAGTATCGAGTAAATCTTTTGCATATTCATTGTTCTCATGCCAAATTTGAACCTTCTTATCAACGAACTTCCTGTATAGCTCGTACAAGTTTTCTGTCTCATAAATTTCAACGTCACTTGAAACTAGTTCCGATAACATTAAAAGCAACAATGGCGTGTCGAAGCTTTCTTTTGATTGAGTGGAATTAACTATTGATTGAACCTTATGGATATAATCTGGGATCATTGGCTCGTCAACTTTGTTGGCGATCAGGAATTTTTTTATGAAGTTTTCTTGCTCTTCTGCAGTGAATGGAATCAAAGTGTAGGTTTTGGTCATGAATTTGTCTCTCAGTTGCTCAGTGTAAAGTGGTCTTGTGCAAATGAACTGGATATTTGTAGTGTTGTTCCTTATTATGCTTAATATCTTCAGAACTGAGTCACTAAACTCCGGTGAAATTTCATCAAATCCATTCCACAACAAAATTGCATCACCAGACTTGAATAGTTCCTCAAAAACTTCTTTCTCAAATTTATTCTGATCAGCAAGTCCAAAAATCTTCCCAAGCATCTCCTTCACATCATCAAAAGTCTCAACAGCCTTGTATAAATCTTTATGATCCTTCAAGTCAATGTAAGAAACCCAACGAGTTGGAAGCTTCTTCTTGATTCTCATCGTAAACTGCTCAAATGTGACTGTCTTTCCAGTTCCTGCTTCTGCTGATAAAATAAACATTTTCGTCTCATTTGCAATTTTGAGAACATCTTCAAAGTCAAATTGTAAAGATGTGTGAGAGAGCAAAGTTTCAGCTACAGGAAATTGATCAGAAATAGACTTGATCATGTAACCTTCAATTGGACATACGGTGTAAGTCCCTTTTCTCTTGATCTCTTCAATTTTCTTGGTTTGAGTTTCTAAACTTTCGTTTCTGAACTCTTCGTAATAGCTCTCAAATGTTTTGGTGTTTCTAGTTATATTGTAGCATTCACATATGCAAGATGAATCATCTCCATTAATAAAGTGCATAAAGTCGTAGTAAATGTCATTAAGGTTCTCATCAAAAATCTTCCTTTCAACGTTAAAATTTGCTTCATTTGTAATCATGTTGGATATGATCATAGTTTTGTTATCTAGAACGTCTTTAATCTGCTGAGAAGTCAAAGAATCAAAAGCAATTGGATTTAATGCATACAAAGCATTAAACTTCAAGCTTTCATTTTGAAATGCGAAGTTTGAGGTTAAAAATTTCTCTTTTAACTTTTCAGTCAAGTATGTCCATGAATGTGTGACTAATTCATCTAAATAGTGCACTTGGGGATTGTTAAAGTTCAGATCATCTTTCCCATGCAACATGCTTGAAATGTGATCGGATGTCAATTTATAATAAGCAGTTGAATTTTCAGGAAATAAGTCACGAAGATGAATTTTTATGTTTTTGTAGATTACTGAAGAATTTGCGACTATCTTCTGATCTTGTAGACTTAGTTCCTCAAAACTATAAGTCGGTGTGTAAAAAACAATTCCAATGATGATTGCAGCTATAATTCCGAGCACAGCTAAAACTCCACCAACAATTGAAACTTTCTGCAATTTTGAAATTTTTTGATCCTTCAGTTCCATGATTTTCTGATCCTTGCTTTCAATTTCTATTAAAGCCTTTTCTAATTCTGGAACGACTTTGTTCTCGTAAAAATCAAATAATCTCTCAAAAACTTCTTTAACTTTTTCCAACCTTCCAGGATCATTTTGGTAATAAACAAGCATGTGTACGGGACGAACAATCAGCTCTGCATGATGCATTTTCTTTCTATAAGCATTAAAAACAACATCAACAATGTCTTCCTTCTGATTTGTGTTCTGGCAAATTTCAGTGATTTTTTGGAATTCCTGCTCGGTCGTCACATCATCGACCTTGTATGGTTTTGCAGCATTGCCATAGACTGAATTCATTGTAAAGTGACAAAGCTCATGTGCCATATTTGATAAAGTTACATGTTCTGTATCTGAATTAAGCAGCTGCTTAGCTCCAATATAGACTCTTCCAGAAACGTAAAACAGACCTTGAGTGTCTGAGTCAACTGTTGGATCTGCCACATTCACCGATTCGTGATTGAAGTCGAAAATGATTTTGAAATTTTTCGATGCAGCCACAATCATGAGAATTATTCTGACAAGCGGAATAGAATCAAGTGACTTGTATGCTCGACTGATGATGTCTTGCTTGTCTTGTGAATCGACTTCGCCGTGATAAATAAAGGAATTGCCAACAAGAATGTTTAAATGCTTTTCAATTATATTATCTGAAAAATTATCATGAATTTCTCGCACAATTTTCTTGCCTCTATACTCTAAATCCTCTAGATATTCAGCTGGATCTTCATGTGATGCATATCGAAACTTTCTACTTGTCAGTTCCTTGTAAGTTTCATATGATCCACTAAGAATTGCAACTTTTAATGCAGATTCATTTGAAAAATTGTAAAAATGTTTGAGATTTTTGTGCTGATTCAAAATTACTTTGAGTTTCTCGTTGTCATCAGCTTTGATCAGTTTGTGGACTTCTTCCGTTATTTCGCAAAATTCTTTGCACTTTCCTGTACACAAAGTAACGTCAAAAGAAGCTGGAAACTTGAGATTAGCTTGTAATAATTGACAAAGAACATCAAAATGCTGATTATTCCAAGCTAAAGTTTGAGCATCGACTTTGTTGTCCAATGAATTTGTGTTCATTCCTTGTTGTAGTAAGATTTTAACGATTTCTGAATTTCCATGCTCAGCTGCAATTAGAAGCAAGTTAAAGTCACGAAAATCAGCAAGAAGATCAAGATTGACTGGCTTCATTCCAGCTTGAAAATAAAATTTGCTGATCAAACCTGAAAAGAACATTTTTAAAGTTTATTCTGTTATTAAAATTTGCTGTCAATGTTAAACTTACCCAGTTGATTATTCTTAACAGATGTAACAAGAAAATCTACAATAAATTCATTTAAAACTCCACTTGCTTCCGTTTTAAGTTTTTCATTTTGTTTAAGTGTCAAAAACTCCTCAATTTCTGCTGATTTCCAATAAATTGATGATTTGGTATTATTAAATGTTTTTTGAATGATCAGAGCTGATTGATTTCTGTATTTTTGACTAAATAGATTCACTTCAATTCCGCCTTCTTGACTTTGAAGTTTAATTAAGACAATTTCTTCATCATATTCTTCTTTTATGTCAATTGATTGAAGTGAAAAATAATTATTAGCATTACTTTTGGTGTTTTCAATTGCTTCAGATTTGAATTTAAGAAAATCTGATTTTGAATTAACTTTGGTTAATTCCATTTCTTTTTAATTTCAATTTCTTTATTGACTTTCTTCCTAATCCTTGTTTAAAAACTAAAATAGATGATTTCTTGATATAAATTGAGATTCAATTACCAAAACTACTGAAGAAACTTAGTTTGTGTATTTTGGTACTTCCAAAAATTTCAAAGTTTTTTTTAAAATGTTTAAATGTCTCTTTTAAATCTTTACTTTTATGAATCAACACAATTAATGTATTCAAAGAGCATTCTAACCACTCGTAACCAAAATAAAAACTAAACTGATCTCTTAAAATTCAACAGCACCTCTTATTTATTCTTATCTATTTTAGTTCTCTCTTCTTGCAATATATATTGATTATTTGTTTTGAGTGCATCTAGACAAACTGATAAGACAATGACTAATACTTTTTGATTTATTTCAAATGAAAAGTTTATAGTTTAATAGCCACGTAAAATGATTGTAACAATAGTTGTCTTACTACCTGAATGTTACTTTACTACAGCTTTTAATCATTAAAATCATTAAAATCATTAAAATCATTAAAATCATTAAAATCATTAAAATAATTAAAATCATTAAAATCATTAAAATCATTAAAATCATTAAAATCATTAAAATCATTAAAATCATTAAAATCATTAAAATCATTAAAATCATTAAAATCATTAAAATCATTAAAATCATTAAAATCATTAAAATCATTAAAATCATTAAAATCATTAAAATCATTAAAATCATTAAAATCATTAAAGTCATTAAAATCATTAAAATCATTAAAATCATTAAAATCATTAAAATCATTAAAATCATTAAAATCATTAAAATCATTAAAATCATTAAAATCATTAAAATCATTAAAATCATTAAAATCATTAAAATCATTAAAATCATTAAAATCATTAAAATCATTAAAATCATTAAAATCATTAAAATCATTAAAATCATTAAAATCATTAAAATCATTAAAATCATTAAAATCATTAAAATCATTAAAATCATTAAAATCATTAAAATCATTAAAATCATTAAAATCATTAAAATCATTAAAATCATTAAAATCATTAAAATCATTAAAATCATTAAAATCATTAAAATCATTAAAATCATTAAAATCATTAAAATCATTAAAATCATTAAAATCATTAAAATCATTAAAATCATTAAAATCATTAAAATCATTAAAATCATTAAAATCATTAAAATCATTAAAATCATTAAAATCATTAAAATCATTAAAATCATTAAAATAATTAAAATCATTAAAATCATTAAATTTAGTGAAATCATTAAAATCATTAAAATCATTAAATTTAGTGAAATCATTAAAATCATTAAAATCATTAAAATCATTGAAATCATTGAAATCATTAAAATCATTAAAATCATTAAAATCATTAAAATCATTAAAATCATTAAAATCATTAAAATCATTAAAATCATTAAAATCATTAAAATCATTAAAATCATTAAAATCATTGAAATCATCTGGTCAATGATCTGGTCTTGACATGTCCATTTGGTGTAGTGACCTGATTAACAATTATTTCAGATGGTAAAAGTGCTTTAAGCTAAGGTATCATTAGATCATTGCTTTTAAGCAGATCACCACTTAATGTTAAGTTCCCATTAAGTTAAGTTCATGAGAATTATTGAAAAATCAGTCACAAGAAGATCCATACGCGCCTCATATGTTGTTGCTTAAATTTATAATTTACATGATTTTATCGATCAAAAGCTACGTTGGTGTGCTGCATGATTTATTAAGTAGAATAAGAAATTTCCAAGTAAGCCGCATTCTGACTAAAACTCTTCATTTTCCAAGTATAAACTCATCACAAAACCTCCTTAAATATTCATAAATTTCCACATAATCTTCATACGCTAATTAATTATTACTTAAGCTTCATTTCCACAAAAAAAAAAAATTCTCGTCTCGAAAGTTTCAAGATATTTTAATTTCAAGAAGTTTCCATCCAAAATCCACTAAGCATCACAATGAAATTGAGACATAAGCTCACCATTTTCATCAACTCATGCTCTTGCTTGTTTATATCATATCATCTTAATTAATCAAAGAATATATAACAACATCATGCAGACTGAAAGTAATAATCAACATATGATGGGAGCTTTCACATCATCCATAATCCCTTCGTGTACGTAGATCCATGGCATTAGCATTAATAGCAGTAGCGGTAGTAACATGTCGCGCTTAATTCCTTCCAACTAATGGAGCAATTTTCTTATCATCTTGTTTCTCACTTCCTCTATAATGCTTTCAATATGAACTTCTGGAAAAATGATGAGACACATTTGCAGCTTGAAGCGTAAATTGTTGGGCAATTCTAGGGACTAGCTGATATTGAGGAAATGTTAAAATTATGCTTTTAATGCCTGTGATGTCCAAGCAGAGATCTGGTTACTTGAGCTTTATGTAGGAGAATCTGCCATTGCAAGAGTAAGCTTCTGTGACGCGAGTGGTTAGGAACCGGTCTGTATCTGGAATCTTCTTTTGGAAGGACGTGGGTTCAATTCCTACCAGTGGCAGATCTCCTAAACCTTAGATATTGATTTGTCAATATCAGTGATGGTCAGCCCATGTTGCAATACTATGCAGGTCATGGCTTACTCCCAAGGTATGTCGTGGCACAAAAAAGGTTGTCCACCACTGGTCGATATAACAAGAATTCACAAAACATTAATTTTATCCTGCAAAAATCCCTTAAAAATTATATTTTAATTTCCACATAAAAAATCTCCTTACCCTGACTGAAAAGCGTACCAAATCTCACCCGTAATTCCACCCATATTCAGTAAAAAAAATAATTTCCAACAAAAATTTTAATCTTCCTTTTTTTACGTTACACTGCATATGCAATATGAGTATCATCACGTTAATAATAAGCAGAATATACATAAATTCACAATTCCTCATAAATTATGTCACGTTTGCGAATTAAAATTCTTTCACATGCTACTGCTTTTCCTTAAATATTTTTCCATCCTTTGTGCCGTGTAAAAAAAAAGGAAGAAAAAAAAAAC